TTTTTTTTTCTTTTCAGTTTTTTTCCATCCGAACAAAAATATTATACGATGAAGAGATAATCTCGAATTTGGTTGATTCGACATTTGATTAATTTTTCTACAATTCTTTTTCCATCCTTTGTCTAGGTATTTTTATTTTTGATTAAAAAAAAAAAAAAAAAAAAAAAAAAAAAAACCCAAAAGCTTTATTTAATGATTAATTTCTTATTATGCAAAATAAACATGTATAAATGCATAAAAAATTTACATTAATTTTGTAAGACTGTATCATTTAAGAATTGTTTTATATATATATATACAAGTTGGTAAATTTCTATGCAAAATATAAATACAGAAAATGATATATAATTTACAGTATTACTTTTCTATTCAAATGTCTTCATAATTGTTGAAGACAATTATGGTTAGATAATAATCACTTTATTATTATGAAATAATATTTTCAACTTTAACGTAAAAATGTTATTTTTCACAGAGACATATCACCCACCACGTTCCCATTTAAAAATTCCACCCACGTTTTTCCTTCAACACGAGCAAACATTTTTCTTAACGATTTATCGAATTTCACGGTTGATTCATTACTTTTATCATTTATTCAGAAATTTATTCGTTTTATTATCTTGAATATATATTACGTCTAACGAATTTGCTAACAACAAAAAAAAAAAAAAAAAGAAAAGAAAAAGATAGAAAATTGAAAGAAAAAAAAACGAACCATAATGAAAGAACAAACCATAATGATGAACAAATTTAAAAATAATAATAATTAAATATCTTTGAAAATTATATTACAATAATACACACACACACACATATATATATATATATATATATATATATATATATATTGTAAATTAATATTATAAATATTATATATTTAAATTACAATATATTAGAAAATGTTTTATATTATTTTATATTAAAATTATTATATTATATTATTTTATATTATTATATAACAAATATTCTATTATAATAATACATATATGTATAAATAATATAATATAATAATAAATAAATTATATAATAATATAAAATAATATAATATAATAATTTTTAAATATAATACAAATTAATATATTATAAATGTTATATATTTAAAATTATATATTAAAATATTTTATATATTTATATAACAAATATTATATTATAATAATACATATATTTTATATAATATAATAATAAATAAATTATATAATAATATAAAATAATATAATATAATAATTTTAAAATTTATTACAAATTAATATATTATAAATATTATATATTTAAAATTATATATTAAAGTTATTATATTAAAATTATATATTTAAAATTATTATAATAAAATATTTTATATATTTATATAACAAATATTCTAATCTAATAATACATATATATATATATATATATAATAAAATAAAAAAAGAAAGTGCACAATTCATTCCTCCTAAATACGATTTCAAGTTAGAAAAAAGGAGAATAAAAACAAAGAAGGAAAAAAACAATAAATATATATTCATCCGAAACTAAACGTGAAAAAAGGGTATATACAGTATATATATATATATATATATATACCCATGCAATTGTTTCTATTTTACGATGTGTATAAAGGAAAAAAAAGGTTTTTTTTTTTTTTGTGTATAGACCCTAGGGGAAATACTATTAAACTCTCGTCGGATTAAAACTCGGACGAATTCGTCTCACGAAATCGATTTCTATCCTTTTATTTGTTCACTTTTTAAACGTTATATATATATATAGCACTCAGAATTGATCCTTTTAACGAAATTTCACACGCCTTTTATCGTAAGTACTTCCGAAGATTCACGAATCGAACGGAAACTACTTAAACATTCTCACCCCTTCCTTCATCCACCAATTCCTCACTTACAAAAAAAAAAAGAAAAGAAAAGAAAAGAACAGGAAAGAAAAGAATTTTCAACGAGTTGAAAATAAAAGCTGACTAAAAATTAAAAATTAAAACAAAAGTATATATATATATATGTATATATACAAAAAATGATATCCAACGAAATCAATTATAATTTGAATTAAAAAAAAAAAAAAAAAGCAACCAAACTAAAGGAGAAATTAATGAGGGGATCTTTGAGAACAATCCGGGAAGAGAAATTTCAACAACGTTTCCTGCTAACGACAGCTCATTACGACCCTTTTTCCAACCCTTCACCCCTTTAGTTCTTGTTCTCTCTCTCTTTCCCTCTCTCTCTCTCTTTCTTTTTCTCTCTTTCTCCTTCTCTGAATCCATTCCTCATTCTGTTCGTCTTCTGAATCATTCATTTGATTATAACGAATAATACCTTGGTGTTACTTTGTTCGGTTACTAAAACCTAGAATAATTCTTTTTGTTTTTTTTTTTTTTATTGTCCTTGTTGGATGTAAACTACAAGCAAAACGGTTCACTTTTTTGTTTTGTAATACTTTTATAATTATTTATATAGTATATTGTAGTATAATAATGATAATAGTATAACAAAGTATAATAATAGAAAAATTTTACAATATTATGAATTTAATTATATTGCGAGTATAATTGTATTATTAGTTTAATAATAATTTAATAGAATATATATAGAAATAAAAAAAAAAATGAATTTAACAATGTTAGTAGTATAATTAATTATGAATATAATTATATTGTTATTATGTAATAATATAATAGAATATATATATATGTAAAAGAATTTTACAATATTATAAGTATAATTATATTAATAATTATATATAATATATACGATATATTAAAATAATATAATTATATTATATATAAAAAAATATAAATATTATACTATATATAAATATATAATATTTATTATATTATATATAATAAATAATCTAATTATATTATATAAAAAAATATAAATATTATATTATACTATATATAAATACATAATATATACAATATATTAAAATAATATAATTATATTATATATATATATATATATATATAAAATAATATAAATATTATACTATGTATAAATATATAATACATAATATTTATTATATTATATATAATAAATAATCTAATTATATTATATAAAAAAATATAAATATTATATTATGCTATATATAAATACATAATATATACAATATATTAAAATAATATAATTATATTATATATATATAATAATATAAATATTATACTATATATAAATATATAAATATATAATATTGTCTATATTATATATAATTAATAATATAATTATATTATATAAAAAAATATAAATATTATTTTATAAATAA